CAGCAGGTCAAATCCAGCATCAGACAGAACAGGGGCACCAGTAAACGATGTGGCAGGAAATTTCTTACGTAATAGGTTATACCTGAAAAGAACAGGTCAGTGGTCAAAAGAAAGAAATGCCCGCTATCAAGAAAACCGAAAATATCACCAAAGATCCAGAAAGCCAGACCAGATCACCCAAAGCTGGAAAGCCTGGGAAAAATTTTAAGAATAAGAGCAACTTAATACTACGTTTATATTTGTACAACCACCGAATTCGACAAGAATAGGGAATTCTTACTGATGTTTGACAAAGTTGACCTTGACTCCAGGAAGCTTAGAGAAGCCAGGCCAAATTGTTTCATTGGGTGTCCCAAGGATTCTGAAAATCTATAATTAAAAAAAAAAGTAAAGCAACATTATAAGTTGTACACCCAGGATGCGAGACAAATCCAAATCGCAAAACCCAATCTCACAGATCATTTACCTTGTCAAGTTGATCCAACTCAGTTTTCCCATTGAACAATGGCGCCTTAGATAACAGTTCCGCCATGATACAACCCAGTGACCACATGTCAATGGCTGTTGAGTATTGTTTCACTCCCAAGAGAAGTTCAGGTGCTCTGGAAAATCAAATGCAGAGTCATTGTGTTTGTTCTGGAAGGAAGTAATTTTTGTTAAAAGATCAAGGAGGAGCAGTCATGAAAAGGAAAACAACAAATCTAAAATTTGAAATCATGAATTTGCTGAATGCACATGGTTCTCAATGACCCATGAAAAACAATGTCCTAGCATACTGCAAAGGGTTAAGATGCCCAAAGGCTATAACTGGTAGAAACATGGTAATTGATGATACGGCGAAAAGATTAAAATAGGAGAGAAAATATCACATCATATGTCAGCCTAAATACTGAATTTCAAGAACACAGAGAAGACAATCAGATATTATCCTATGCCAGCCTCGTTGTATAGTTGTACCAAAAGAACTACTCTGAATTTATATTGACAATACCCAATATGAGTAAAAAGTGCACTATAAGAGTTAAAAATAATCAGAAATATCGAAACAACAAATTCTTTTATAACCTTAAAAATAAGGTAGAAAAAGCAGGTTACCTGTACCAAAGAGTAACGACCAGATGAGTATATGGCTTCAGCGGGCTACCATACTGCCGAGCTAAACCAAAATCACAAATCTTCAACTCACCCTGGTTATTTAAAAGCAGATTGGATGTTTTTAGATCTCGATGAAGCACCCAGTTGTCATGAAGATGCTTGACACCCTCCAGAAGCTGGAGCATCAAACATTTTACTTCGCTTTGACTGAAAGGTTGTTTCATCGATTCCATCAATCCTTTAAGATCATGTTCCATGTATTCCATCACCATAAAAATGCTATCAAGACTACTACCTACAACAACCTCTTTAACATCAACAATCGATGGGTGATGAAAAGAAAGAAGAATGTTGATTTCCCTAAGAGAAGTCAATGGAAAACCTTCTCTCTCTTTTTCCATCTTCACCTTCTTCAAGGCCACAATTTCCCCTGTTTTCTTATCCCTTGCTCTATAAACAACGCCATAGGTACCTTCATCTATCTTATTTAATCTCTCGAACTCATCAACGCTTCTACAACCCTGGAGCATGTTTACACTTCTCTGTGGAATATCTGCAGGTTCTGGTGTATCAGGCTGAACATAGTCATCATCAGAATCTGTCTGAGTCTGGCTACCACTAGTGTTCCCCTTTCCGTGTTCCTCATCGATTTCCATATGATCACCCTTACTAGCATCCTCCTCAATAAAATCACCCCTGCTTCCTGGCAAAGAATGGAGCCCCCTTTCATCAGATTCTGATGATTTTGCCCTATAGCCTTCCCTCACGAACTCCCCTACCTCGGGTGTTAGAGACTTATTATGCAATCTCCCATGGAATGATTCTGTGGGAGGTGGTTTCCTCCTCCTTTTACTCACTTCCACTTTTTCCACTATTTCACCTTCATCAATTGGAGAACTGTTGTTAGCTGCCCATCTTGAGGATGAGATGTGCCTTGTTGGTACATTTTCCTCATCCTCAAGTTGTCCTGCAACTTCTTGTCTGGTTCCCTGTCCAGCATTTGATACTTGCTCCATCGTAGACAAAGAAGAAAACTCTGCCGGAGATGATGAAGCAGGCTGTGATGCAGGAGGAATCTCAACTTGTGAAGAATCTTGTTGAGATTTGTTATTATTTATGGGAGACAAATGAGAATCACCATCATGGATGACACTAGGTGACAAGGTGGACTTCTTAGTGAGTGGCGGTGGAGGAGGGAGAGAGGAGACTGCAGGGGATTTTTTGCTTCTACTCAAGTAACTTCTTTCCTGGTCATCTCTGTCCCACACTATGGGTGAAAACTTTCTCTTCTTTTCTACAGGGCTGCTAGCTCCATTCTCTACAATCTTTGCAACTCCATTATCTTTAACTTGTGATTCATACTCAATTACATCGTCAGACCCACTCTCACTGGAGAGCTCACCTGGTTCCTTGTCGACAGACCTAGCTGAAACCCCACAGCGCTTGGGGCCACAATCACCAGCACAATCACTACTACCAGAATTGCTCTTTGAAGATGACCGAGACCCAATTTCCACCATTTCTTTCTCCTTGATATCCCTCTGTCCAACCCTAGCCCTAATCCTACTTCTATCCCTATCCCCATGCCTTACCATACCAACCCGTCCCCATTCATTACCACGATCGCGCCTCCCACTCTGGTCATAATTCTGATTTGAGGAAGCACTTTGCCGCATTGGAAATCTTGAATCCGATTCTCGGTCCCTTAGTTCATGTTCAGGATATCCCACATGTCTCCCAGCCGCCATAAAGACACCGTCAGTGAAAAAGGGCCAAACTCAAAACCCTATTTCAGCGCACCCCCAAATCCGCTTCAAGCCCAAAATCTTCCGACCAGGTTACAATCAAACTCCAATCAGAATCATAGACGAAACAGACTAGAGACCACAAGTTAGAGATATCGAGCTATTGATCTTGACTAAAGGAGCAAAACACGTAGCTAAATTAGCAGGAAAGAACTAAAATTTCCACTCGCTTAAATACCAGCGGAGCTCTGATCTGAATCGCGAAACCCTAGAAATCGAAGACGAGACGATAACATAAGATACCATGAAACAGAACGCGACTATGCTACCCAGAGGTAGAAAGGCGGATTCGATCGGTAAAGTATGACAAAGTTCTTCGATTGAGGATGGAGGATCAATGGATAAGGCCTTACCGTGGAGGCAAACGCGACGAAGGAGAGAGAAGGCGTGTCTTGAGCGGCGTCTCTAGAGAGCGAAAGGAGCGTGGCTGCAAAACCAGTAATCGATTTTAGGTCTCTGGGATCTCGATATTTATTGTTTCCTCCTTAATTTTATTGATATTATTCAATAGACCCCACAAATATTTAGAAATACAGCGTAAGACCCCAAACATTTTATCGCACCACATAGAGAAAAATAGTAGTTGTTATGATGATGGTAACTATAATGTTTTTATTGTTTCCCCCTTAATTTTATTGATATTATTCAAGAGACCCCAAAAATATTTAGAACTATCGTGTAACCCCTAACGGTTTTAAAAACAACATTCGCACAACCATATATAGAAAATTAGTAGTTGTTGTTACGATGCGGGGTTGGCAATTATAGCGTGCATGAATATGGTAACTATAATGTTTTTGTAACTGTTTTTATCAGACAACGTCTCTCAATTATATACTCTGTTTGATCGAGAGGCTTTGGCTTCTGATCATACCAGATGCAATTTTCGGTTTGGTTTACTCTCTGTATATAGCTGGTTTATTTTCTGTAAATTGCTGATTAGGATTCACACGTCTTTTGTATTTTTAGGTTTGTTATTGATTTGTTATTGCTGTTAGAGCTGTATAAATACGTGTAAAGGGTGAAGGGAATAATTGAATAAATCTTTTCAGAAAAACATTCTCTCTGTTTTTCGCAATATTCTCTCCTTGTTCATACAAGTTGTTATGGTATCAGAGACATAAATTTTTCTTCTTTTCTTCTACTCTTTCATCTTTTCATGGCGTCCGATTCTTCCACTTCTGAGACACCCATTCCTCTTCCTCCTGATCCTTCTTCCCCTCAGCATTCTCTTGATCCCTATGCCAATCCCCTATATCTCCATGCTGCTGATTCCTCCAGCATATCTCTCGTCACTGATAAGCTTGTTGATGAATCGAACTATAATTTCTGGGCTACCTCGATGGTTCAGATCCTCACTGCCAAGAACAAGTTCGGCTTCATCTATGGTACGATCCCTCAACCTGCTGAAATCCATACTGATTATGGTGCTTGGATCCGCTGCAATGCTATTGTTGGTACATGGATTAACAACTCTGTTTCTACCGATGTCAAAACTATGATCATGTACATTGAGAATGCTCACCTAAAATGGACAACTCTTGAGACCCAGTTTAAGCAGAAGAATGCCTCTAAAATCTTCCACATTGAGCAACAGATTGAATCCCTGCAACAAGGTTCTCTTGACTTGAATACGTTTTTTACAAAGCTAAATTCTCTCTGGGAAGAATTAAAAATGCATGATCCGATACCTGTTTGCATCTGTGGACATTGTACATGTGACTCGAAGGCGAGATTGATGGATTACTGTGACAAAAAGAATGTTGTCAGATTTCTGATGAAACTCACTGAGTTCTTTCATCCTGCCCGGCGTCAGATTTTAATGATTGATCCACTACCGTCTATTCGTAAGGTTTATGGGATGGTTGCCCAGGAAGAACACCAACGTATTGCTTTACCCTCTATTCCTGACTCTGTCGCTTTTCAAGCTTCTGCTAAATCTCGCTCTTTTTCTCCTAAACCCAGACCCTTTTGCACACACTGTGGCATTCAAGGTCATACTGTTTCCCGTTGTTATAAGATTCACGGGTATCCTCCTTCTACTCGCCCTCCTCTTTCGAACAAACCAGACATTCTACCTCGACCTCGTTTTGCTTATCCTGAAAATACCCAGAATACAGTTAATATGGTGGGTTCTGATTCTGATATTTCGGCCTCGTCTCAGTTGATTCCCGCTGATAAGTCTGCTCAGTCTACTCTAGAACAAGCTTAGGCGCTTTTTGATCAGTTTCAGACTCAGCTCAAAGTGTTAAGCAGTTCTGCACCAGATTCGAATGTTTCAGCCTCATCCTCCCACATCGCATCAGGTAACCCTTTTTCTTCTCATCTTGTTCTATCCTCCTTTTCATTACCTTTACGTCATGTAAACACTGCCTGGATTCTTGACACGGGAGCTAGTAGCCATATATGCTGTGATATCCGTTTATTTTCTAAAATATGTCATATTCCCTCTACTCTCATCACATTACCAAATGGATCCACTCTCTCAGTTACTCAATCTGGCACGGTAATTCTTTCTCCTACACTGATGCTTTCCTCTGTTTTATTTGTACCATCCTTTCATTTCAATCTTCTGAGTATCAGTGCTCTCACACGAAACACATGTTTTACCGTTTCCTTTTCTCGTCATTCCTGTGTTATTCAGGACCCTATTCGGGCCTTGATGATTGGGAGGGGTAGGCAGCATCACAACCTATACTTTCTCGAGCTACAGGGGCTTTCTTCCTTTCCTTCTTCTTCAGACCTTCCCACTGCTCTCTGTACTGCGCTGTCTGCTTCTGCCTCAATTGATCTATGGCACACTCGTCTGGGTCATCCCTCTTCCTTTCGTGTTCATGCTCTTGGTTCCTCATCTCAGCTTCAATTCATTCCTGCGTCAGTCTCCGCTCCACACTGTTCCATATGTCCAATGGCGAAACAGAGGAAACAACCCTTTCCGGTTTCAGGGAAACTTTCTCAGGAACCATTTTCTCTGGTTCACATTGACATTTGGGGCCCCTTTCACGTTTGCTCTGTAGATGGATTTCGTTACTTTTTCACTATAGTAGATGACTGTACTCGAGTTACTTGGATCTATCTACTAAGGAATAAGAATGATGTCCTTTCACTTTTTCCAGCTTTTATTACCCATGTCTCTAAACAATATGGCAAATCTGTGAAATCTTTCAGATCAGATAATGCCAATGAACTCTCTTTTTCTTCTCTCGTTTCCAAACTTGGTCTAATTCATTATAGATCTTGTCCCTACACACCTCAGCAAAACTCCATTGTTGAGAGAAAACACCAACACATCCTTAATGTAGCTCGGTCCCTTTTGTTTCAGTCGAATCTACCTTTGGCTTATTGGACAGATTGTGTACAGACTGCGGTTTACTTAATAAATCGTATTCCTACACCAATTCTGCATAATAAGTCTCCTTTTGAGGTCTTGACAGCCACTAAACCTGATTATTCCTATCTCAGAGCCTTCGGCTGCCTCTGCTACGTCTCTAACACTGATAAAACTCGTCATAAATTTTCCCCCAGAGCAACCCCTCATGTCTTCATTGGGTATCCTCCTCATATCAAAGGTTACAAAGTTCTTAACCTTGATACCAATGTTGTTTCAGTTTCTCGGAATGTCATTTTTCAGGAGTTGGTCTTTCCTTTTTTGGACAAACCTGTAACTCAAGCTTCTTTGGATTTCTTCCCAGCAACGCCTGTCCATCATCATTATTATGACTCGACTCCTCCCTCTTCTTCTCCTGTTTCTCTACCTTCCTCTTCTTCCCCTGCACATGACCTGGTCTCAGATTCTACTGAGTCTTCTCCTGTGCATTCTTCTTCAATGGATCCTTCTTTACCCGTTTCAGGAAATATTCAGAAATCACAGCGTGTTTCCAAAGCTCCAAGTTATTTGACAGAATATCATTGTTACCACCTTATTCACGATACCCCACCCTCAACCCCATCCTCCTTTTCTTATCCCATTTCTTCATATCTCTCATACTCCAAACTTAACTACCCTCTGAAACATTTTTCTCTCTCCATTCTCTCTCAAACCGAACCTAAATCCTATAAACAGGCTGCAACATTTGATGAATGGCGAACTGCTATGCAACTTGAGCTAAATGCTCTGATTCGGACAAATACCTGGGATATTGTTCCTCTTCCTTCTGGCAAGGTCCCCATTGGATGCAAATGGGTATACAAGGTCAAATACAATGCTGATGGCAGCATTGATAAGCACAAGGCGCGTCTGGTAGCGAAAGGTTATTCGCAGCAGGAAGGCATCGACTATCTAGACACGTTTAGTCCTGTGGCGAAGTTATCTACAGTCCGGATTATACTTGCTCTTGCTGCTGGCTACAACTGGTCTTTACACCAGATGGATGTATCAAATGCTTTCTTAAATGGAGATTTGTTTGAGGACTCTATATGAAGTTACCACCAGGATATTCTGACATCAAGGGGGAGAGAGTTGCAGATAACTCTGTTTGTCGTTTAAGAAAATCGATTTACGGGCTTAAACAAGCCTCTAGGCAGTGGAATATTAAACTGTCTCAAGTCCTGATTTCGGGTGGATTTTCTCAGTCGCAGGCTGATAATTCCCTCTTCTTTCGACATCATGGATCTGGGTTTGTGGCGGTTCTTGTCTATGTGGATGATTTATTGATTGCTGGGAATAATGATGCCATGATTACAGAGGTCAAGACGTATCTCTGTTCGCAATTTTTACTAAAGGACCTGGGTTCCCTTCGTTATTTTCTGGGTTTGGAAATTGCTCGGTCTGCCAAGGGAATTCACATTTGTCAACGCAAATATGCTCTGGAGTTACTTGAGGAGTTTGGTATGTTGGGATGTAAACCACGTACGTCTCCAATGGATACTAAAGAGAAGCTTCAAGCTGCCTCAGGGGAACCCTTACCCAATCCGACATTATATCGGAAACTCATTGGCAAACTCATTTATTTATCCGTTACTCGCCCTGATATTTCCTATACGGTTCAGAAACTCAGTCAATTCATGTCTGATCCTAGGACTGATCATCTGAATGCTGCCTTCAGACTCCTTCGTTATATTAAGCTCGCCCCTGCTCAGGGCCTTTTGTATCGATCAGACAACAAGATTCGACTGAGTGGTTTTACAGATGCGGACTGGGCTGCTTGCGCTGACACACGACGTTCCATTACAGGTTTCTGTACTTTTTTGGGTAATTCACTGATAACCTGGAAATCTAAGAAGCAGAAAACAGTCTCGCGTAGTAGTGCGGAGTCGGAATACAGGGCAATGGCACAGGCTACATCAGAGCTCGTTTGGGTTTCAGGTTTGCTTCGCGAACTCAAGATTCATTTCTCAGAACCTGTTACTCTATTCTGTGACAGCAAGTCAGCCATTCACATTGCAAATAACCCTGTTTACCATGAGAGAACTAAGCACATAGAAATTGACTGCCATTTTGTCCGAGAACATCTCAAATCGGGTTTTCTGAAACCTATGCACGTAAACTCTCGGAGCCAAATTGCAGATATCTTCACCAAGCCTTTGGCAGGGGATCACTTTCGGGCTTTATTGGACAAGATGGGGATCTTCAACCTTCATTCCTCATCTTGAGGGGGAGTATCAGACAACGTCTCTCAAGTATATACTCTGTTTGATCGAGAGGCTTTGGCTTCTGATCATACCAGATGCAATTTTCGGTTTGGTTTACTCTCTGTATATAGCTGGTTTATTTTCTGTAAATTGCTAATTAGGATTCACACGTCTTTTGTATTTTTAGGTTTGATATTGATTTGTTATTGCTGTTAGAGCTGTATAAATACGTGTAAAGGGTGAAGGGAATAATTGAAGAAATCTTTTCAGAAAAATATTCTCTCTGTTTTTCGCAATATTCTCTCCTTGTTCATACAAGTTGTTAGTTTTCGCAATAGTGTTTGATGTCGGTCCATTGCGTGATATATACATATAAGAACAATTTAGATCGATTTCGTCTAGAAATTCATGATACCAACGTATAAATCAGATTTATGATTCACATTATTGAACGGTATCGGGTTTATTGTCTGGAAACGATCAAAATAGTTCAAAGAAAGAGCTTAATTCATATTATTTCCGGAAAAAAATTGAAGTTCTTTTACCAAAAAAAAAATTGAAGTTCTAAACAATTTTTGTGTGTTAACAATATTTTGAAACAATAGAAATCGAAATATAAATTCAAGACCGTTTAACAAAAAGAAAAGAAATATAAATTCAAGATTTTAGAAAATATATTTCTAAAGTAGAGTAAAATCTCTATTAATTTAATTAATATTTTCGATAATCATCATATGATATAATGATAACATCATTTATGCGAAGAGTAACATGAAGATGAAGATGTTAGAATATTTTATAAATATTCGCAATTAATGTGATTCAATATTGTATTTAAATCATGGATTTTGTAACGTTAGCTATTAATAAGACATAAATGTGATCATTTATGAAATATGCCTAAAATCGTGATTCCGGTAAAGTTTAGGAGCTAATGTGCAGATACCGTTGTGTTATTTCCATTTCTTTTATGGGCGGAATTGGAAATAATAAGAAGTTTATTTTCTATAAATTAAGAGTATGGTCCCTAGGTCACACACCAGTTTTCAGAATTCTTACAGTCCATATTGTGAGAATTTTTTTCTGCTCGTGTGTTGATCTAAAAGATCACAATTCTCGATTACTGTTCAGACGCTACCGGATTCATTATTGAAATGGATTCAGGTAAGACTTTATTCTATTTCATTCTTACATGCTACATGTTAGATTCAGGATGTATTTTCTGTGTATTTAGAAACACGGTATTGTTAAAATTAACAATTGGTATCAGAGCCTAACATGTATGCTCGTATGAATGATATTTTTTTTTATCGAATTGTTTGCAGATTTTTATTGGTTAATATTAATAATCTGTAACATGTATACTGTTTAATTTAATAATGCACGATTATATATATTTATTATATATATATATATATACATTGACAATTCGCTACATGTTTAATATATGTATGCTTGTGCGTGAAATTCAGTTTGGTATATATGCATACTGTATATATATTGGTTTGTGTATCATGTTTTGTCTTGAAGTGATTGTCGCGATCATATACAGTGTCCGGGTCATCTCTACAGAAATAAAAAAAATAAATAAATATTCGAACAGTAATATTCATTTTATTTTGAATATTTGTTTTTTAGGCT